TGATATACTGAACTCGCTAGGACCAATCAGAATCAGTTTTGCATGTTGGGTATATTTATCTCAAGATTAACATAATAACCCACGTACCAGAGAATGAACACAGATCAAAGTCTGAAAAGTCTCAGTTTATCTAAGAATTCATTATCTAATCTTTGGTAAGCATAAGATGATGCTGGTTTATTTTCTTTGTATAAAACAAAAGCTATATCAATGGGTTTGTAATCGCAATATCGAAAGTGGCGGAAATAAAATTTCTAACGAAAGCCGGCTGGTCCACATCCTGCACGATGACATTAAAAATCTGTGTAGTTCCACAAATTCAGAGAAGTCATGGACTATTTGCAAATGTAATATTTCTATCACATAATTTTATCTTGACCAGTTGCATCACGAGTCCCACTTGATTTTTAATAAAAAAAAACCTTTCTTCAAACCTTAACAACCAATTTTATTCACCACATTTCCTCGATCAATCGCACGGGCGCCTGATCAAAGTTTCAGCTGAAAGGAATGGTGCTAATTGGAAGGAAGGCACTTTATCAAGGCATTTATATCATTCATAAACTACTAATTTGTACTGATTCCGCTTTAGTTCAAGCTTTATAGTTATTGATAAAGTGACAAAGAAACAGATATTCTTACTAACTAATAAAGTGAGGGAGTGGGAGTTGGGGCTGGTAAGGGGGGAGGGGAGGGGGCGGGAAGGGGACAGGAGACAGGACCTTATTCGAGGGAACGGGAGACAGGACTTTATTCGAGGGGGGCGCTTAAAACGCAATAAAACAAGACTTCTTCCAGGTAAGAGTATTATCTACCAGCACAAATCTAACTATCTGATGAAATGATATCTTGTTGACAGGGACTTGTCCAATAACCAGGTAAAGAATTTACCTCCTGGAGTTTTCAACAGGACTAAATACCTCCTCAGCCTGTAAGCACTAATTGACATAAATCTTTATTTACTGCTGTTACATTAATGCGATTAAGGGGAGGGACTGAAACAGTCTCACGCAGAATTCCTTTAATTACTTGCAAATGAAATATATACAACCGGTGGAGAAAAAAAGTTATTGGCGAGCAAGAAAACATCTTCTAATAGTATAGCCCCCCACCCTCCCAAATCCCTCCCTTCTTCACAAACCTCACCCAAACCAGGACTAGAAGCTGGCCTTAAAATCAAACTCAACCGCGTATCGAGGGTGGGTAGGGAAGGTAGAGATCAGGCAACCAGGTAAGTACAAGTTAAACAAGACTTTTTGTCACCTTATCTTAGGATGACAATTTTTTTAGCCTCTAGGAGCATCCATAATATATCAGAGCTTAGTTACGACATAAACATCTTGTCACAGTTTCTCACCCATGCTTATGCTTTAAAAGCAAATTGACGGCGTTCATACAAAACACAGTGTGTGAAAAGATATGCGTCGAAAACCTTGCGACGTATTCTCACTTCTTCAGCACGCGACCATATTACGAGTACTGCAGTTCGAATTTGTGTAAAAGCTGCCTTCTATGCTACGAGCAGTTCATTTGATTGCGGGCGCATTAAGCATTAAATGGTTCGGTAATTTGTTTAGTTTAATTCGTTGGAAAACTCCGGCGTAACCAGAATTTCTCTTTTACTAGGCAAAGCTTTTTTTTTTTATTTCAAACACATAACGAAATGCTTCTTAAAAGAGCCCAAATGATTCAGGGCTGTAATTACGGCAAGATCCTTCATGAACCAAAAATTGTTTTAGCTCGTAGATAGCATAGAGAAGAGAGGAAAGAGAGGCTTCACCGATAAAGTTTTATTTGTGTAAAGATAAAGGTTAAATTTAACAGGCTTCCAAGCAATCTTTGAAATGTGACTATCAGTAATCATGAGGAAAGTAATAATCACTTCCATCGGCGGCTAATCCACGTAGATTTACGCCTGTTCAGTTTTAAGTACTAGTGACTCAGAAAGTAAGTGTAAGCAAATTTAAATGTATATTTTGAAGTTGTGAGAGTCTGTTCGTTTGTTTGCTGCAATGGCGTGTGCAAATCTTGTCTTTCTTTCCCCAAAAAACTGAAGTCACATGAGGCACTTTATTCAGATACAAGTGGATTTAATGCTGCATTTACTCATGCCATGGAATTCACTCGGTTTCTGTTGTGCAGCTTACAGTGGAAATGTCCAACATTCAACTGTTTAACGGACTTGGAAAGACTTAACGAAAGTGTATTGTATTAGATCTTAGAACTCAAAACATCGCTTGGCGTTTTAAAACGAACAAACTATTTTGGCGATTTCAGATCTGGAGAGTAAATTTGATTGATTTGAGCATATATAAGGACCTTTTGTCGCAGCGACGGATTAGATCACTGTCACTGTCAATCGATGATGAAGGCACTAGACAGCAGTATCGAAAGGTTGGGTCAATGAATTGTAACTTCTCGGTTACGTTCGTCAAATATTTAAACCAGAGTAGCATCAAACCAAGTTTGATTGACTGTAATTGTAAACAAATACCTCACGTTTTCACTTTTTAAGTTGCTTTTTGTGAAGGATTATTAAATTACAAACGGTTTCTAGGCCGCCTGCCTTAATTAATCATTAATCATTTATCGGATAATTGTCGTGACCGAAACATTAGCCTGTAAAAGCTACTAGGCGCATTAGGCGCATAGGCGACTCAACACGCAACGGATTGGATACCGCCCGCTGTGAGCGAACCGGATGGAAGAATACTGTCCACTCGCAATACCATTCAGATTGTAGGATTTGTAGAATACCGCCCGCTCACGCACTGAGAAAAAAAAAACTGATCTTACGCGTCAGCTTCATGCGCACTCCACTGTTATGGATCCGGATCCGCCCTCAGTCTTGCTACTAGAATCATTACCCTTTCCTGAAAGTTGTACCACTATTTTCAAATTCGCACTGAAATTCTTTTAAAACCACCTACACCGTATTAGCAATTATTCAGGTTAACTTAGCTACGCAATACATCGCAATACATCGCTGATTCGACCATCATTCACGTCGTCATCAATAACCTCACTCTGATCCATATACAGAGAAAGATAAATTTTCAATATCTTTATAAAATATGACACTAATGAATTCAACTAAACTTACCCACCATTCATTTACAATGCCTTAAAAAGCACCTTTTTTTCCAAAAATAATTTTCACTGGTTTTCTAGAGGTGTAAAACGGCCCACCTGTCACAATGTTGCAATCCCTTGGCACATAATAAAGAGAGGGGTCAAAAGCTTTTCCTGTAACTTTTTAAATGGTGTCTACCTCAACACCAGTCTTTTCAATCACTTCATTATTTATATAAATCACCCATAAAAAGCTGTGGAAACTGTTATGAGCTACACATATGTAGAGTCAAGAACACCTCCTGTGACAGGGTACATACATGTGCATTTTTAATGGATTAGAGCACACACCTAAGAGATGCTCATCAAAGCAAATTATTGTCGTGATACTGTACTTTCTCTCCTGTTGATGTATCGTCACAACTGAACCCCCTAGTTAACCCATTCACAGACTACTTATAATGTGCACTGTTGAATTACTTCCTCACCACACTTTTCATTTATTAATTTTGGTGGTATATCTGTATTTCTGCTGGAAATTCTCACCTGTCACAATTGTAAAGAGAAGTCACATATCAATCACTCAGGGAGTAAATGAGTGAACAAAAGAAAAAAAAAGCATGATTAATGATTTTTGTTGATAAGTTCAAGAATTTTTTCAGTTGATTTGACTGCCACACCCTGACAGCTTGAGGAAAGCCCAATTTATAAACACTTCTTAAGAACAGTACAAAAAATTCCATCAAGAAGCCAGCCTTACAAATGAAAGCTTGTTAACAGTACTGTTGTGAATGATAAAAGAAATCATGGCTACCACAACTGCTGCAGGCCAATGTCATTTATTAACTCTTTATTAATCATTCATTTTCCATACAACAAAAAATACTAAGAAAATAATGCAATGATATAACAGTTTCAGCCACACATCAGTTAAACTCTTGTTGTATACTCAATGATGTTCATGAGGATGCTTTTAGAAGTAAAAGGTCACAATGATTTTTAAAGGATTGTCAAATAACACCAGATACATAAAGAGACTGGAATTATGTTTCTTAATTCAAATCCTTATTGTGTTTGGAAAGGTAAAGGAATGCATACATGCACCAGTAGCTTTTGAGGTATGCAAGTTGATGATTTGAGACTAATGCTAAATAGGAAGTGAACAGAGATATGTGAGGGTATACTGCATTTTATTATTTTTAGTCAAAATCACTCATTGAACTTACATGTAGTAGCTACCTGTTGGACAATATCAGCATGTACTGTTAATAACATCAGTATCATATCATTCATTAAGAAAAAAACCCTATTGGATGATCAAGAGAAACATATATTGGTTTAATTGTAATTTCCTGTTGAACACAATTTTTACATACAGCATACAAAATTATAATGCCAAATTAAAACACAGTACTATTTCTCAAACTAATAGACTCAAAATGTTACTGATATTTTAACAAAGAGAAGAAAATGATTTATGATATTCAAATGAAATAAAAAACAACAACCCACAGATTGGTGCAAAATTTGAATAAGTTTTTATTTTCATTTGCCCAAGAAGAAAATGTCTTTTACACCATTATTTTTTATTAAGACCAATATCAAGATACAAACTACAAGCCTCCACCATCATTTCCATTGACTAAAGACAGCCACTGTGTTTCGTATTTCAACAATTAATTGCATTTGCCACCTTCTTATTTCAAGTGGAATTACAAAGAAGCCATTAAGGTGGTATGAATGAAAGTTGAATATCACTTGTGAGCAACATTAATTTTTTACCCCAGTCTTGGACAGCTTATCATTAAATCACAAGCTGTAAACTGTACTCCATTTTATAAAATGACTTCAGGACAGGAATAAAGAACATTCACTGTCAGAAAAAAAATGAATGGAATGTAGTCATTTTCACAAAACAAAAAGCTTTCTGTCTTTTAGTAATATTATTATGTAATATCAAAATTGTCCTCTGAATCATGTATGATTGGATTTACTTTAGAGTTACTAGTAATTTCTCCTGTTGCTGGAAGGAAAATTCAGGCAAAAAAACTGCAAAAATAATGTAACAATAAGTGGTGTGGTTTGGCTGGCTTAGAGGCAAGACACATCCTAAGCACTCAGCTATACGCACAATTCAACAAAATTGAACATGAGTCTAATATTCAGTCATGAAATAAGCTAGTTCATTTACCTTGGCTAAAGTTACAAGTAGCTCTCAGCAACACAAGTCAATGAAAACTTTGAAATTGAATGGTTTAAAAGATAGGTTGCTGTCATTTTGATGATGTTAACAACAATTAATTTTCTAGTTGGGAAAAAACCCAACATTTTCTTACCAGGCAATAAGATTGGAAGAATGCATGCACAACATCTTAAATGAAATTCACAAATTTTCCCCTTGGTTGTTACTATGATTAGAAAAAAAGGTGTATTCTCTCTTCTTTACTAAGACAGCGATCTGTATTGCTCACATGGGAGAAAGTATATGAACTGCCAGCTGACCAAGAGACTGATATAGGTACATGTATTTCATGTAGCAGCTTTATCACTCAACTTCCTACACTGATCCAGACTGCTCACCTCTTTTGACACAATATGTACAGTATATTGTTTACCCTTGAATGGTAACATTTTGTCCCAAGCCAGCTTTCTTGCTTTAGTCAACAAATTAATGGAATTGAACTATGGTAAATTCAACATTCGCTTCGCAGCTGTAAAAGTTTGGAATCACCTTGACGAAAGCATTAAACACCTCCCCCTTAAAACATTTGAAAACAAAGTCAAATTAAACATCTTACAGTCTTACTGTTCAAAGGTTTTCAACTGGTCTCTTCTTCTTTTTCCTTTATCTGATTTTTTTTAATTTCTTTTTTGTCCTCTTTTTTTTTTGACCAATAATTTGCTTTGCTCGAGCTTTAGTGCCAACCTACGTCCTATATTTAAACATTATTTACTTTTACTCAGCTAGATTAGCTTTTCAGTTATTCTGAGTAAATGTTACCTTTTTTTGTATTAATATATTATGTGTCCAAATTAAGTTTAACTTCTCAATTTGGTATTAAAGCTAGTTGTTGTTGTTATTGACAAAATACACAAGTCATCATGGTATGATCCAAAACATTTTACTCTTCTCCTTCTACTTAAAGAAAGTGACATCAATGATAATTAAGGTATTGGCATTAAATAATTAAATGTCTGTTTATAGGAGCAATCACCAGCAAAATTTAATACATTTCAAAACATTTCGCACAGCTCCCATGAAAAAGGTACATGTACTTTAACACCTAAAATAGTTTAGCCTCGGAAGCCAAACATGTTTATAGAAAAAACCTTGGGAGGAGGAACCACACTACTCATTGAGGGCAGTATTCCTTCTTCTAATTCCTTCTACACAAGTGTTCTTAAAAGCCACTCAGGGACTTGAGAAGATGATGTCAAACTATAAAGACACTCTCAGAATATGTAAGCCTGGCTCATCTTGCTCCTGGTTGCAAGGCTAAGGATTAACAAATAAATGTTGTCTTTCTAAATATACACAGTGTGACATAGCATAGGTGTGTCAATTACAAACCTTTAGACACCTGTACCATAAATTACAGCCATCATCCAACCATGAAGTGTACCCAGTACAATGTCACATAATTATGTGCTACCAGCAGTGGTAGTGATAATATCATAGAGACATTTGTTAGGAGAGTTGAACCAACCTATATTTAAAGATCAGAAAATTAGTTGACAAAATGGTTAAACCTGTTTGTTCACAATTGAAGCCACCAAAAATTACAGGCAACACCTCCCTGTCACTTTCTAATCAAGTCAATGGATTTTAAAGATACTATTAGTATAGATGGTTTTAACAACTTAAATTACTGATGCACAACTTAAAAGACCCACAGTCAATATTTAACTGATTTGTTCAAACTAATTGGAGTTCAGACCTTGATGATACAAGTATGTACATATCAAGAGGTGCCTGATATAAATTTGTATTCCACACTTGTTTTAAGTGATGCCATGCATGTTGAATTCCAACTGAGAGAACAGTTTCATAATAAACCTTTAACTCCCATGTGTGACCAAGACAGAATTTCTCCTTACAATATCAATACAATATTAAGCAGACAAGTGATGAAAATAAAGGAAAATATTAATTAGGGGATTATTAGTTGATCCAATACCAAATTCTCAAAATTAACATCAGAGGAACTATATGGCAGACAGTAAGAAGAATTACTAATGAGATCTTAGCAGTTAAAGGGTTAAAGCTGATGTCAACTGTGAAAATCATTTTGGCATTTCACATGCACAGGAAGTCCTTATTTGACTTAGAATTTGGCAAACCAGTCAATGAAGGCCTTGATGAGATTTAACTGTGAGCCATCAAAACATAATAAGCTCAATATTGAGGGGACCCTCTGGTTGGAATCCATCAAAAGAGGAGGTCATTAGTAAAATAGTCATCATCAGTAATCAACATTAGAACCATTCATAAAAAGCTGAAATTTAGCAAGAAGTGGATCACTCTACACACCAACCAATCAGTGAGGTTGGCCACATCTGTTTCTTTGTTAATTATTGACAACAACAACAAAGTATCAAACATTTTTTAAGTATCTTCTGCCAATTCAAGTAATTGAGCACAAAATAGATCCAATTGGTTTGGTTCATGACTATATCTACACATAGTATGTAAGATTATAGGAGGCAATTATGGACTAAAATTGGATTTTGACTTTTGATGTCACCCTGGTAACAAAAGAATTTTAAGAAAAGTTCAACATGTCAAAACTCCTCTTATTTTTGACAAAATAGAATTTTGTTGTGTACCTGTACAATTTGTCGAATGAGAAATATTTTTGACTCCCTCACTAGAATCAGTTTTTCAGTGACATTCTTGGTCAGCATTTTGTTGATTTTCACAGTGGTGTCAAGTGTAACAGGCATCCTTAATGCTCTACACTGAATTTAAAAGAACCTTTGAGTTTTAATCAGAATTCATCCTTGTGTACATGACGAAAATAATTAATGACAAACACTCAATTCCATCACCGCAGCAATTTGGCACATTTTTTATCTCAATACTTGGGAAAGAGCCTTTGTAATACCTCAAAAACGTTCATGACTCTTGAACCATTTTACACACAGCTCCTCAATCAAACTCTCTACATTCATAGTGAACAAGCCACAGTTTTTGCAAATAGCTTTCAGTAGAGTTCATTGCCATTCCCAGCTAAGATGACAAGTCCAAAAGGCATCGATTGGCACGATTTGATTCTCTTCGATACTTCAAATTCACCTGCACGTTAAATTTAAAAGAATGACATATCATTTTCTCGTTTAAACATCATTGGGCTAGCTGCCTATTAAAAATATTGTGCGAAAATTTAAAAGAGTTTACCTGGAGCACATGTTAATCGAACATAACGTCTCCTCAGGAGCTGCAGAAATTGTGTTCCTGACGGATTGACACCAAATCGATATCTTTAAGCTTTTCCCAGGATATCCACTACACTTCTATTCAGAGAAGTGACACGAACTACTCAAGTTTTCAGTTTTCGTTAAAAAGCCGACACTGTTGGCGATGGAATCACTTCGTCCCCAACATCATCCTAGCCCTATACCGACCAACGTAGTGTGTTTACGTTTAGTTCTCTGGTGGCGCTGCTCGCCCTTTTAGCTTCTATTTTGTTAATTATCTCAAGCCTTTTTCACTTCCATGATATACATTTCTGTAAATTTGACTGTTTCACTTGCCACTGCAGCAAAATCCATTTCGCTTTGAACGAAATTCACACCGCAGGGCTGTGAAATGATAACATTAGCATCCTGGCCTCCAAAGACAACATTCAAGAATTTGGACTGAATTCTGGGATGAGGGGACATTGGAACAAACAACTGGTATTTTTGATTCCATAAGATTTATGTAAAAAACAAACCACGTATTTCAAATGTAGGAAGATAGCGGGAGATTTATTCTTCAAAAATTTTTTTCGACAAAAATGTTCAAATTTTCCAATTTCCAACCAGAGAGCCCCCGTTTGCAAATGCGACGAAATACCCCAAACTTTCTTTGATTAAACACAGATTCAATACGGGATTCACAAGTTTACTTGTCTGCCGTGGCTCTCGGGTCGAAGATTCGCGTCGAGTGATTTAAAATAATCCGCTGTGGTTGGGTAGGGTTAAATCGCGCCAGCTTCTTAAATGGGTGTGACGAACCCTTAAATTAACCGTCAAACGGTTTAAAGGTCTTTCAGATCTCCTTGTTTCAAGCGCTTACCGCGAACCGAATTTTATGATTACTACATAGTCCTCAACTACACTTACTCTGCCTCTTTTTGCCCAGTATCCCAGCCCAGGATGCCTCTCCAATCAGGTACTTTAATGGAACTTTTATAGACAGACAGGAGCCCATTACTCGGAGTGAGCAACTTCCAAACCGCATGTGTAAAACGGTGTTTTCACAAGTAGATTTATATTTAAATAAGACTTTCCTGCGGATTGGTATCGGATGTACAATGGGACCAAATCCAAAAAGTTAAGCTTATGCCGCAAGCCCGGATGTTGAGAAATTAATGATCGTGAGATGTCTCTTTTCTGCATGCCCTCTAGAGAGAAAGTGTGCACTATATACGCTCGCAGTACGAAGTGTGGGAAAAAGGTTAGAGTCTGGTCGTTGTTCTGGATTGCTGAGTTCCGATGGTTAGATTTGAATGAAAAATAACGCTCCATTTCATGTGAAAAAAAGTTGGCACTTATTCCAGGTTTCATCAAGGCGAGAGAAATCGATAAACAAGGTATCGTATTTCTCTTTTGTCGTATATAAAGCATATCAAAAAGACGACTTTTACGGAATTAAGCAATTTGTAGATTTAAGTTTTATTAAACGTAGAACTGCCGGAATCGATCACTGATTGTTGCCATTCACTGGATATGACTTTACTAGATATGATAATCACACCGTCCGTTGTTATGTCCGCCATCTTGGGATCTGAGACAGTTTCGTAATACTGTTGAAAATTTTCATTTAAAATCTGTCTAGAACGATGTCAGCCTTAAAAATGGTTCAAGCTCTTCAGAACGGTGTATCCGACAACTTCAGAACTCGATTATTTTGTATTAACCAGTGGAAAAGGCTTCTTAACTTAATAAATAACTTCAATTGACCACACGAAAAGGTGCGCTTCATGGTTAATGTGAACATCGTTTGTGCCGCAGTTCTGTAAAAAATGTCTTAGCGAGGGGGTCAAATTATGATCGATCTTATAATCATAAAGAAATTACCCAAAGCGGGGCAACAAATTACTTAACGGTGAGAGACACTCAACTGAGGTGATTTACAGTACACTGGAAAAGTAACTTTCGTCCGATATGTAGCTGATTTATATCCCCAAAATATCTCTACAGCTATATGACAAAGAGCGCTCAGCACGTTATGTGGACTTAAGCGAAATATCACTTAATGGTTTTTAAATTGTGGCTGGTTGACAGCCGTCCTCAGCGAAATATTAGTTGGAGTTTCTTGTTTCCTTAAATCAGAAATCCTGCAAAAACAATCTTTCTGATTCTTGGAATTTGTCCGTCATGGCTGTTTCGGCTTTGGAGACTAGCCAAAGGCTAAGAAAATGAAAAAAATTGATTGCACAACGTTTTATTAGAGCCTGGTCCTTGTTCTGGATTGTTGAATCCCGACAATTAAATTTGCCCGCAAGTGACTCCTTTTTATGTGAAAAAAAACTGACACGTATTTCAGGTTTCATCAAGAGAAAAATGTACCGTATTTCTCGTTTGAGGTGTAAAAAGCATATCAAAATGGTGATTTTTACGGAACTTTGTAGTTTTTAGAGCCAAACTTTATTGAACTGAGAATTTCCGAAGCGATTGCTGATTGTAAGCATACATGGGATGAAGAGAATATACATTTGATATCCTCTTGACTGGATTTAACTATCGCTAGAAATGATAACCACAAAATCCGTTTTCTTTATTTGCGCGATCTTGTCCGAAAAGTTTCAGTTTAACTAAAGATTTATAATTTAATCTTTGGTAAGCTTTGGATGGTCGAAATGCTTATTTGCGCAGCCATATAACACAGTCGTGGGTGAAGGGGGAGGGGGAAGAGAGATAAACGAAAGCCGGCTGGTCCACATCCTGCACGATGACATCAAGATCTGTGTTAATTCACAAATTCAGAAAAGTCTTGAATTACTTGGAAATGTAATACTCTATCAAAGAATTTTATCATGATTTGATGCATTGCGAGTCCCTCTTGATCAATAAAAATCCCCTCCGTCAAACCTAATTAACCAATTTTATTTAACGCATTTCCTCGAATAATCGGCCGGGCGCTTATTCAAAATTTCGGATGAACGGAAGGGCGCTTATTGGAAGGAGGGCCCTCAATCGAGGGGGCACTTATTAAGAAACTAATAACCTGTAGCGATTCAGCTGTAGTTGAAGCTTACAAAGTCCTAGATAATAATGTGGCAATAAACAGGTTTCTTCGAATATGGGAATATTTTTAACTTTTTTTAAACACCCGAATAATTTAGGGCTGTAATTACGGCAAGATCCTCCCGGCTATTAACTGAAAAGCTAGTAGTAAACAATATAGAAAGAAGAGGTGATACAAATCAAAGGGAGAGGATTCAGCGAAACAGTTTTATTTGCGTCAAGAGATAAAGGTTAAATTTAAAGGGCTTCCAAGCAATTTTTCAAACATGACTATCATGACGATGTTTTCTTCAAAAACAATCAGTGATCTTAAGAAAGGATTGGTCACTTCCATCGGCGATTAGTCCACGTGGATTTACCTCTGTTCAATTTTAAGTGACAAAGAAAGTAAGTCTAAGTAAATTCAAATGTATCCTCTAAAGTTGTGAGTTCGTTTGTTTACCGCAATGGCGTGGGCAAATCTTGTCTTTCTTCCACCGAAAAACTGAAGTAACATGAAACACTTAAGGGGATTTAATGCTACGTTTACTCATGTCATTAAACTTCCTCGGTTTCTGTTGCGAAATTTATAATAGAAATGTCCAATATTGAACGGACTTGCAAAGACTCAACGAAAGTGTATTTATAGCAGATCGTGGACCTGAAATCATTGCTTGGCGTTTTAAAACGAACGAACTGTTTTGCCGATTTCAGAAAGTAAATTTAATTGATTGTTATTGTGAAGAAGTACCTCGTTTTTTTATTTTTTCTCAATTGCTTTTTGAGAAGGATCATAAAATTACAAACGATTGTTAGGCCCCGCGACAACCCATTTAATAACTCATAATTTGCTACCACAAAATTCATTTCAAAACTAATCTAAAGTGATTTGAGAGAGAGAGAGAGAGAGAATTAATAAATTATGTATCGGCTAAACTTCGTGAAGAAAACATTTGCTTATAAAAGCTGCTTGGCGCACAAGGCGACTCAACACGCAACGGATTGGATGCCTCCCGCTGTGAGCGGGCCAGACGGGAGAATACTGTCCACTCTCGGTACCAATCAAATCGCACGATTTGTAGAATACCGCCCGCTCACGCACTGAGAAAAAACAATATCTGATCTTACGCGTCAGCTTAAAGTGCACGCTCCTGTTATGTCTATCGCTTTTTGTCATCCGGATCCACCCTTAGTCCTGCTACTAGAAAGATTACACTTCTCTGAAAGTTGTTTCACTATTTTAAGACTAGACCACTTTCAGCGTATCAGCATTTAATTAACTTAGCTCCGCATTACATCTGAGAACGCAGTTAATTAGTACAATTTTGGCTGCAAATGTGAAGCATCGCTAATTCGACTATCACACAGGTGATCATTATCAAACTCACTCAAATCCATATACAAAGAAAGATAAAATTTTTTCAATATCTTTATTCAATCAATCCATCTCAAAACAAGGTTTGTCGCAAATATAACACTAATTGAATTCTACTAAATTTACCCACCATTCATTTTACAATGCCTTAACATTTTCACTTTCTAAAAAAGCAATTTTGTTTCCAAACCTAATTTTCACTGGTTTGCTGGAGAGGTATAAGACAGCCCACCTCTCACGATGTTGTGGTCCCTTGGCAGACAATAAAGAGAGGGTCAAAAGCTTTTCCTGTATCTTTTAAAATGGTGTCCACCTCAACACCAATCTTTCAAATCAGTTCACTGATTCCATATACATCACCAAGGAAAAGCTGTGCAAACTGTTGGGAGCCACACACATGTACAGAGTCAAGAGAACCTCGCTTGACAGGGTACATACATGTACATTTTGAATGGATAAGCTCATACACCTCAGAAATGCTAATGTCAAAGCAATTTATTGTGATACTGTACTTTCTTTCCTGTCTATGTCTCATCATAACTGAACCCCCTAGTTAACCCATTCACAAACTACTAATGATGTACTAAATTACTTCCTTACCACAATTTCCACTTATTTATTTTGGTGGTATATCAGTATTCCTGCTGGAAATTCCCGTATGTCGCATTTTCACTTCTTGTGAGCTTCTGTGAACGGTTTGAAATTGTATGGAGAAGTTGTGTATCAATTACTCAGGGAGTAATTGAGTTAAAAAAAAGAAAAAAAAAGCATTGTGCATTCCAACAATGTACTCATGTTAATGATTTTTGTTGATTACATTGAGAATTTTGTTACATGATTTGACTGCTACACGCTGGCACTTTAGGAAAGCCTAATTTATGAAATACTTATTGAGAACAGCACAAACAATTCCATAATGAAGCCCTTGAGATTAAAATTTTGTTAAAAGTTACGAAAGATAGAAGGAACCAATGGCTACCAAGACTGTTCCTGGTCAATGAAATTGATTAACTCTTTATTAATCATTCATTTTCCATGGCAAATAACAGCATACAATTGAGCTGGGGTCTCACAATAAAGGTTTCAATTACACATAAATCAAACTCTTGTTGAATTCATGATGATGTTCATGAGGATGCCTTAGTTCCTAAAATTAAAAAGTCACATTGATTCATAAAAGATTATTAAATAACACCAGATACATAAGGGAAATAAAATTCTGTTCCTTTAAATCCTTACTGCATTTTTAAAGAGAAAGGTATGCGCATATGCACCAGTAGCTTTCAAGGTAACAAAAATAGATGCGAGTTGTTGATTTGAGACTGAAGCTAAATAGGAAGTGAGCTGAGATACCTTAGGCATATTTCAGTTCAAATCAATCATTGAACTCTGTAGCCATCTGTTGGACAAAATTACCATGCACCCTCATTAACATTAATATCATCATATTATTCCTTAAGAAAAAGCCCCTGCTAAATGATCAAGAGAAACATATATTGGTTTGATTGTAACTTCCTGCTGAACAATACATACAGCATATAAAATGATAATAGCAAATCAAAACATAGCACTAATTCTCAAGCTAGTAGACTCAAAATTTTTCTAATCTCCTAACAAAGAGAGGAAAACCATATGTGCATTCAAACCAAATAATAATAATAATAAAACCAAAAACACATAAATTGGTGCAAAGTTTGTATTTCAATTTGCTTGGGGTGAAAATATCTTTTACACCACTATTTTCTATTTAAACTAATATTATGATACAAAATAAAAAATTATAGGTCTCCACCATCATTTCCAGTGACTAAAGACAGCCATCAAGTTTTTTATTCCAACAATTACTTGCATTGGCCACCCTCTTATTTTGAATTGAATAACAAAGAAGCCCTTAAGTAAGTATGCATGAAAGTTTAATATCACTTGTGACCAATATTATTACCCCATGCTTGGGTAATGCATATTGATAAATTGCAAACTTTCAGTCATTTTACTCCATGACGTCAAATCCTTCATGACATGACAGAAATAAAGAACATTCACTGTCAGAAAAAAAATGAATGGATTACACTCATTTTTACAAAACAAGAAGCTTTCTGCCTTTTTGTTATATTATGTTTGTAATATAAAACATGCCCTCTTAATCATGTTTAATTAGATTTATTTCAGATTTCCAGGTAAAAACAGTGGTTAACATAATTTTTACCTTGATTTTTTTTCCATAACTGCCAGGACAAAAAACTGCAAATATAACAAAAAGTAGCGTTGTTTGGGTTACTGTTTAGGTAAAAGGGAATTGATACACAAGCTGGCTTAGAGGCAAGATGCAACTTTACCACTCAGCTATACACAATTCAACAAAAGGCAACATAAGTCTTAGGCAGTCATTAAATCAGCTAGTTTATTTAAATTGGCTAAATTTCACTCCTAGCAAAGAATATCAAGTCTACAAGTCAAAGAAAACTTTGAAATTGAATACCTCTAAAGATACATGTAGGTGGCAGTCATTTTGATGGTCTTAACCCTTTAACCTCAAAGAGTGACTGGCATTTAATTTCTCATCACAATATCAGCCCCAAATCACATATTAAGGTAATGAGAATAAAGGAAATGGTCACCATTTAGAGAAGCTCTGGATTATGAAACAAATTCTCCTCATCAGCACCTTAGGGAATGTATAGGGAACAGTATGGAGAAGATGCATACTGATGTGAGGGTGGAAAAGGTTAACAAAACTTGATGTTGTTAGGGAAGAAACCAAACTTTTATTACCAGGCAGTACGATCATCATAGGAAGAATGCATGCACAACATCTTAAATTCCCAATTTTTCTCCCTAGTTGTAAAGTGTATTCTCTCTGCTTTACAAAGACAGTAAACTGTTAACTTCTCACCTGAGAGAAAATATATGAACTGCCAGCTGACCAAAATATATAGGTATTTCATGTAGCAGCTTAATTATCATGCTTTTAGCTTAGCTTCTTACACTGATCCAGAATGGCAACTTTTTCTCCCACACCTGCTTTCTTGCTGTAGTCAACAGAAGGGACTGATAAAACACTCAGGTCATCATGGTATGATCAAAGACATTTTTTTTCTCTTCTCCTTTTACTTCAAGACAGTGGTGTTAAATTATGAGAGTCATAAGGTATTGACATTGAATAAATGTCTGTGAATCAGAATCAAGATCACCAGCCATATTAGAAAAGAGGATAACCTTGGGGAACCTTCAACACAGCCATCATTAACATGGTACATGTACCTAAAACAGTTATGCTTCAGAGGCCAAACAAAGCATTCTGAACTGCATTATGAGCCTCTAGGTTCCCAACAAAATTCATCCATGAGTGCCTGATGAAATGATAATCACTCATGGATGAATTTTCATCATCACAGCCTTTGTAATACCCTTAACACCAATGAATCTGGAACCATTTTCCACCCTGCTCCTCATTCAAACTCTCTCTCTCTTTGTTCACGGTGAACAAGCCCCAGATTTTGCAAATAACTTTCAGGCACATGTAAGTTCGTTAGCATTCCCAGCTGAGGTGACAAGTCCTATAATGCATTGATTGGAACGATTTTATTTCAATCACTTTGCTCTTCGATACTTCAAATTCACCTGCACGATAAATCAAAGGAAATGACCTATCATTTTCTCATTTAAATCTCAAGGGGTTAGCTTCCTCATTGTAATGTTGTGCGAAAATTTCAACATGCATGCTTACCTGATGCACATGTTGCACGGACATGCATGTAACTTTTCCTCAGAAACTTTTGAGACTTTCCATTGATACCAGACGATATAACTACGCTTTGTCCAAGTCATCCAATAAACTTCCATCCAAAGAAAAGGCATGAACTACTCAAGTGTAAACTTTTCGTTAAAAGGACAACACTGTTGGCTTTGGACTCCGTTCGTCCCCAACATCGTCTTAGCCCAACACCGACCAACGTGACGTGTTTACGGTTAGTTCTCTGGTGGCGTTGCTGGCCCTTTTGGCTCTTTTTGTTTGTTTGTCTGTTTTTTTTTAACAACCTGAAGCCTTTTTGTTTTTATGATATGCCTTCCTTACTCGCTTTGAGCGACACAGTAATCAAACTGACCAAGGCTTTAGCATCCAGGCCTCAAGAGACAACAGTCTAGAATCTGGAATGAACTGGGGGATTTAGAGGACTTTGGTACAGTGGAACAAAGAGCTGCACAGAGGGAAATGATTATTGTTAATGGCTGGTTACCACCACAACTGCAATTTTTGATTCTGCAAGAGAATTTGCGTAAAGACTAACCACGTATTCCAAATCTAGACAGACATTTGAAGGTTTTCTAAAAAAATTTCAAATATCAAAATTACTTCAGGTCTTTGGAAGGAATATCAAACAGTAGCAACTTTAAATCAGAAGCAAATCCTTATTTTCAATGGAAGTTACCGGAATCCGCCCCCAACACACATCCGGAATAACTTGGCACATCACCTAGGCCGTCACGTCATGACCGTCAGTGCTTTTTTGGATTTGGACTAACCGGATTGTTTTGGATTTTCTTGTTTGGATTTTTTTTTGTTTGGATTGTTTGGATTGTTTGATCCGAACAGCAAACAGCCTGGACATGATCTTTTGAATGACAGGAATAAAGCAAGATAGCGGTTTTTTTAGATTACCTTCAGCCTTTTACTCTATGCTGGAAGAACTTGTTAGAGAAAACAGAAACAAGGGAAAACATCATGAAAATGGATGACTTGCTCATTTTTACGACGCTTGAGAAGCATAAGAAAACTCACAGAAATGTTGCAGTTCGGACGGATGCTTACGCCGTGCAAAAAAATTAAATGCTGTTTACGGTCTTAACAAAACTTCAGCAGTGTTCAAGAACTTGGGCTGACTTGAAAATGACAGTTGCTCATTTTTCATTTTTTGAACCGCCATATTAATCTGTTAGTGTCCACCACGTAGCTAAATCCAAAGTGAATACCGGCCCGTACGGTCTTAACTGGGCGAATTTCCAACTTCTTCGTTTTATTCTTAACATTCAAGTTCAACTTCCATAATCTTAACGAAATGTCTTCGGAATATACATCCAATGTGACATGTGGTGCAGCCATAAGAAGTTTAGTTCGTTGACAACATATTCAAGGAAAACCTTCACTAAGTTAGAGTGTGGGTCTTCTTGTCACTAATTCCGCTGTCTGAAAATACATGCAAAATCCAGTAACAAATGCCTGTAAATTTTGGAGTAGGATTTTCCTGAATTTGGTAAGTCAAGCACAAAATTGGTCAAAGATGTATAGTTTCAGCGCTAATCTACGTTCCTTTCAACTCCTGCTGCACCCTTTGTTTCAGTCACAGGAAGTTAGCACATACCATCTTTTCTCAAAGGATAAAAGGCCTCGCATCAGCCACTGAAATGACAGGGCGCACGCTTCACCAGTTCTTCCATTTCAACATGCCGCATCCGCATCATCACTGGCAAAAACCGCTCATGCCAAATATTGGTGCATTTCTGCGATGCCAGAAAAATGACAACGATTTGCCTCATATTACCTGCTCGAGTGTCCGTTGCCGCATGATATGGTATTTGTGACTATCCAAACACTCGGTTCTGGGCTAGCAGATAGTTCAAATTACCTAATTACCTAAGTACTACCGCAGTTTTCTCTTAAGAGTTTGGAGATGTTTCTCCTTGTCCTATTTCTCTCATCAAATTCACAACGGGACAGTTTTTGTACCAACTTCTCGTGTTGTTTGCCGTTTTTAAGTCACTTTGTCGCGCTAAGGAAATTGAAATTAAACATTAAAGTTTGGATTAGGTTTTAAAACGATCAGCCTAATGCCTCTAGAATCATCTGTTTTTGTCGAAAACTGCCATAATGAACTCCTTGGTTATTTCCGTAAGCACAATAACAGAAAAACAGAATTTTTCCACCCAGATGACAAAATTCTTTACGACGCAGACTGCGCGGATACGTCGCACTGTGTGATATACTGAATTCGCTTGGACCAATCAGAAGTTTTTCACGCTGGGCATATTTATCTATATATAAACATAACAACCCACGTACCAGACAATAAACACAGATCAATAGACCAAAGTCTGAAAAGTTTCAGTTTTTTCTAAAATTCAGTATTTAATCTTTGGCAAGCATTTGATGATGTTGCCTTATTTTCTTTGTACAAAACAAAAGGTGTATTGATGGGTTTGTATTCGCAATATCGAAAATGGCGGCAATAAAATTTCTCACGGAGGAGGAGGTGGCTTGTAAAATTGAAGATGACCCCTAATGCAGTCTCAAATTACTTATTTTCGCAGCAGTGGGTGAGGGGGGTGTGTTAATCCATAAATTCAGAGAAGTCTTGAATTATTTGAAAATGTCAGGAGCCCATTTTAATGGGCTCCCGAAAACGTAATATTTGTATCAAAAAACTTTATCTTGACCAGTTACATCGCGAGTTCCTATTGATTTTCAATAATAAATCCCTTCCGTCAAACCAAATTTGCCAATTTTATACAAAGCACTTCCTCGAACAATCGCCTGAACGCTTATTTCAAATTTCGGCTGAGAGAAGGGACGCTTATTGGAAGGAGGGCGCTTATTAAGAAGCTATTAACCTGTACTGATTCAGCTGTAGTTGAAGGTTAAAGAGTTATAGATAAAGTGGCAATAGAAACAGGTTTTCTTGGTATCTGAGACAGTGAGGAAGGAGGGGAGAGGGGGGCGGTAATTTATTCGAGGGGCGCTTGAAACGTAATAAAACGAGACCTTCTTTCGGTAGGAGTCATATGAAGTTATAAGCTTTATCTAACAACGTAGTTCTAATATTTGATGTGATGATTTCTTGTTCACAGGGACTTATCCCATAATCAGTTAAAGGACTTACCCTCAGGAGTTTTCAGAGAGCTTCGGTGGCTCAAAGGACTGTAAGTACCAACCAACATAAATCCTTATTTACAGCTGTAACATCCACAGGACCAAAAAAGTCTCACGCAGATATAAACTACTTGTTACTGAAAAATACATAATCGGTGGAGAAAAAAAAGTTTGTGGCTGGCGATAAAACTCCTTCTAATTGTTCCCCTCCCCCCCTCCCCCCGCCTTTCCTTACAAACCTCACCACCTGCCAAACGAGGACTAAAAGCACTGGCATCATAATCAAACTCAACTCTGTATCGAGGGTGGGTAGGGAAGGCAAAGATCAGGCAACCAGGTAAATACAAGTCAAAAAAGACTTTATGTAGTTTTTTTAGTCCCCAGGAGCAGCCATTATCAGAGCTCAGTTACTTTTCAAAATTGCTCACCCAAGGCTAAACTTTAAAGCAAATTAACGTTGTTGATGAAAACACAGTGCGTGAAAAGATATGCGTCGAAAGCCTTGCGAAGTATTCTCACTTCTTCGGCACGCGGTCATATTACGAGTACTGCGGTTTGGATTTGTGTAATTGTTGCCCTCCATGCTATGGGCAGTTCATTTGGCTTCGGGCGCATTAATCATCACGTGACTCGGTAATTCATCTAGTTTACTTGGTTGGAAAACTTGTCACAAGAATTTCTGTTTTACTTAATATAATCGTTAATTGATATAATACATTTATAGGCTTATTTTCTTATTTTCAAACACCTAACGAAATGCTTGCCACAAACTGAAAAATTTCTTAGCGAGTAGATAGTATAGAAAAAAGAGGTTATGCAAACTAAAGAGAGAGGCTTCACAGAAACATTTTTATTTGTGTAAAGAAAAAGGTAAAGACTCCCAAGCAAATTTTGAAACATAACTACCATGACGATGTTTTCCTCAAAAACAGTGATCTTACGGAAAGCATTATTCACTTAAATGGGCGATTAATCCACAAAGATTTACCTTTGTGTAGTTTTTAAATGGCAAAGAAAGTCAGTGTAAGTAAATTCAAATGTTTGTTTTGTAAGTGGAAATAGTGTTGTTTTCGAGCACGGAAAGACCAGGCTTAACTTTGTGAAAATTGCAACATCGTCATTTACGTCATGACATAATCTAATTAGGCACCCCGTCGTTAAATCCAGAATTCCGAAAAATCTTTTGCAGTTAGCACCGTGTTCGAGAAGGAAATCAATACAGTAAGGTAGCCTTGCGTAGCTAACGACGGCGGCTGTTGATAAAAACCGAATAATCACCGAATACTGCGAATAGTCGCGAATAGTAACGAATAGTAGCGAATATTGATATATACATTGATTGTCAAGTTTTCGGTAAGCGACTAAATCAAGTTCCCCTATTTGCCAAGCGCCCCTATATGTCATGTCGCGTTACCAACTACAGTCTTCTAGTGACCTGATTAGGCCGTTTATTGTACAAAACAAGACACTCTATAGAGTGCACACTCGTGCCTAACCTACTGCGAATGAGCTTTGTTATACATATACTG